GCATCTCGGCTGGGTATGTGCTGCATCCGGGCGGGAAGGGCTGGAAGAGGAAGTGCCTTGACAACTAGTAACTAGAGTTCGGCATTGTACGGCAGCAAGAAGATTGCTGATGGTTTGGGGCCCTTGGCCTGGCACAAACGGCTTGCAACAACGAAGCTGCAGCTTTTTCGTTGCCTTGCTGAGTCAAGACCTTCTGGACGCAACGGCAGAGAGATGTCAAACTACATGCTTCACTTCCTGCATTTGTGTTGCATGTACTGCAGGCCGAGTCAAAAGGTTGGCAGCTGCAGACTACATTGGTTGACTGTTTGTTTGAACACTACAGCACTTGCACTTGTAAGTAAAAGTAGCAACCAATTTTAATGTGGTAGCGGAGCTGAGATCCTAAACATAGGGGAGCTCCAGCAAGCAGTAAGTACTACAACCACAGCAACAGCAGTCACATGCCAAACTGCTACGACATGCCAGGAGAAGCAGCATCAGCCTCAGCACAACAAACTACAGGAGCAGAGAACGGGCCAACAGCAGACACAGTAGGAGCCACGACTACGGGAGCAGGAACAGAACAAGACAACGACGTTCAGAGACTACATAGATACAAACTGCAACCACCCTTCTTCACTGGTGACTACTCCCAGTATGAAGAATGGCCGTTCAAACTACGACTTCGACCTGGTGCTACAGCTAGCACAAGTGGCTACACGACAGATTGAGGACACAGACATCAGAACACACATACTCGACCCTACACAAGCAAGCAAAGCAGTAGACCTCTCCAGAGACCTACACTACATCCTCATCAACATCTGTCAGGGAGCAGCAGCTACAGTAGTAAGGCAAAACCGCTACAACGCAAACGGATGCAAAACACTGCGACTCCTACACAACAGGTTCAGCCTACCAGTAGGAACAAGAGGCGTTGGCTACCTTACCAAACTACTGGAACCTACATTCAACGAAGCGCAGTTTGAAGAACAATTCCTACAATGGGAATACGAGATCAACCGCTACGAGAAAGACAACGGCACAGCACTACCAGGTGGAATCAAAATAGCAATGCTACTCAACAAAACCAAAGGAGCGCTGCAGCAACTGCGAGCTGGACAGATCACGAACTACATCGAGATCAGAGCAGTCATCCTGGACTACTACAAGACGATTTCAGGCTTCTGCAGTAGGAACAAACTACGATGGAGGTGCTGCACCAATGGATGTTGACAACATATGGAGGAAAGGAAGAAACTACAAAGGCAAAGGAAAAGGAAAAGGCAACTACAAGGGAAGCAAAAGCAAAGGCAAGTACAGGAGTAAAGGACACTACAAAGGATTCGACGAAGGCAACAAAGGAAACTACAACAAAGGCGGATACAACAAGAGCAAAGGAAAAGGCTACTCAGGATCCAAAGGATATGGATCAAGCAAAGGCTACAAAGGCCAAGGGAACTACAGCAAATCAAAAGGAAAAGGAAACAACAACTACACAACATGCCATCGATGTGGCAAGCCTGGCCACTGGGCACAAGACTGCAGAGTGCCAGTATGGCACATAGGAGAAGCAGGAACAAGCAGATCATGACAACAATGAAGAACTACCTCAGGATGTGAACGACACCTGGGACTGGTACTACGAAGGGGAAGAAGGACAACACGAGGTAAACTACATGGAGGAGAACTGGAACGACTACGACTATGACAACAGCTGGGATTGGAATGACAACAGCTATGAGGACACAGGAAAACTACATTCGGGGCATCAACGAGTCACACCTCACCATTGGACACATCAGACAAGCAAAGTCACGACTACACAAGCACAAATCCAAATCACTACTTGGCAAGAAAACAACACACGCAACATCATGGAACGACCACAGCAAGAGCTTTCAACAGTTCCTACAAGAAGACACCACACAGCTACACTTCGACATAGCAGCAGCAACACAACAGCAAAGGAACAAGAAGATTGAGGACACTATCACACACTACATCATGTACTCCAACTTCATGTTCATGTCATATCAGCACCTGTTGATCGACTCAGGAGCATCTACACATGTTTGTTTGAAGGACTACGCGCCAGACCTACCGCTACGACCTTGTGGAGAATCAGTTCCCAAACTCTACACGGTTACCAACAAGAAGATTCCTGTCTATGGCATCAAGTATGTTCCCTACAAGCAGGACAACTTCAGGGTCATGATACCCTACTACGTTTGTGATGTGAAGTATCCAATCCTCAGTGCATCAAGACTACTTGATAGAGGATATGGACTCGACTTCACTCCACGACACTGCACCATCACACATGGACAACAACAAGCGCACCTCATAAGACACTCAGGGCTTTTCTACCTACGAGCAGAGAAGATCGACATCCCTACAGGATTCGACATCACAAACGACCACACAAAGCATTGTTCACACCACACAACAGTGGTTGCACAATACCAGAAGGAGAACTAGATGATTGGCGACTAACCATCATCAACAGACAAGGGCAAGAGCAAGAACAACTACAAGAGAACCCAACACAACTTTCCAAGCAAGAGCTACAACGAAGACTAGAAGGTGACAACTGGACTGGAGAAACCAGATTCAGAAGAAAGATAATACCTACACGCAGAGCAACATCAAAGGCCACACCAACAAGGCAGAGCTCACAACCACAACGGCTAATGGACACACCGCCAACCAGATCAAAGATCCAACTACGAGCACCACAAAAGATATGGAGACCTAAAGCAGCACCTTCTACAAATCTTGACACCGCACAACCAAAGGAGACAATCCACAGACCACTCGCAGCACAGGAGGACAACCAAGACTACTGAAAAAGACAAGGCGAACACTGGATAAGACACCACACAACACTTAGAACAACTCTCTTCACTCCAACAGATGGACCAGGACATCCACCAATCAGCACACTTGAGCCTCACAGAACTACAATCACTCACAACAACTTTGGAGAAGTTTCACAACGCAAAGATGACTGGACAGTCATGGGCAACGCAGCACTACCATTTCAATGGAAAGGAACAACAAGGTTCACCGTGAAGAAAGACTACGAGCACATGCAGGAGAACCACGATGAGGAACAACAACACGAGCATCATGAAGCACACAGAGCAAGAGGACTACGACAACCACAGCAGCCCACTCCACAACAAATAGCAGGACACAACCTTACACATCTACCATACAGAAACTGGTGTCCAATTTGCGTTCAAGGCGAAGGGCGCCAAGACAACTACAAGAAACAACAATCACGACAACCCGTCATTCAAGTAGACTTCGCCTACATCAAATCACAGCAAGACCCAAAGACCATACCAGTACTGACAGCAGTTGATGCTACTACACAACTGTGTATGGCAGTAATGGTCCCGGACAAGCCATCAATGATGGACTACATGGGCAACAACCTACAAGCATTCATCTTTGAGTGCGGAAGAACACAAGGCGTACTACAAAGCGACAACGAAGACACACTCACGCACTTCTAAAAGCTACAGCAGCAAAAGTGGGATCAATGACTGTTAGGCATGCGCCCTCCTACAGCAGTAACAGTCAAGGAAGTGTTGAGCGACTACACCGAACACTGCTCGGACAGGTACGCGTCGTCAAAGCGCAGGTTGAAAGCAACTACAGCGATGTCCACAAAGCACTGTCTACTACCTTGGGTAGTACGACATGCAGCATGGACGGTAAAATCGCTACATCATCCACTCAGACGGCTACACAAGCTTTGAACGCCGCTGGGGAAGAAACTACGAGCGGGCAATCTGCGAATTTGGCGAGACACTACTTTACCTTCCACTGCAACACAAGAAACTTCCAAAAGCAGACCTACGGATGCAGAAATGCATCTGGCTCGGAAAAGTTCCGAAACCGGAGAAAACTACGTCGCAACGGAATCAGGCGTACAAAAGGTACGAACAGTACGGAGACTACAACCGGACTTCAAACACGAACTCGCACTGTTGGACAAAGTTTCCGGCGCACCATGGGCACCACGACGGAACACCTACAACCCATCGTTCGCAACACTGTTGGATACGCAGCTACAACCGTCAGAGACAAGAAGGTCCACGCAAGATTTTGGACAACAAACGAACGCGACGGACGACATCGTTGCGGAACCCGCAACAAAACAACAACGCACTACACCACCTCCACGACTTCCGTCTACATCGACGTCAAGGTCACGACCACTACCGGATAGTCCTATGGCTACTTCACCAACCGGACGACAACATCCACCACTACCAGCACCACCTCGACAAACACTAAGACGTTTAACTCCGGAAGAAGTAATGCAACCAACCAAAGCACAGAAGACCTCAAAGGACACTACAATCAGATCAACGGAGCAAGCAACCAAAGAACCACAACCACTACGACAGAAAATCAACGCAGTGACGCTTCCCAACGGAACATCCATCACTCCCTACACAAACGACGACACCTCAGAAGACCAACCCATAAGCTTCGACAACGGAGGTTATGACGAAACACAACTACTGGAAGGAATGAAACACGAGTCAAACCAAATGAAACTACACGACGTCTACGACGAAGTAGATGCGTCTACCGTCGATGACAACATCCTAAAAGAATCGATACCTACAAGATGGGTACACAGAAAGAAAGGACCAGGAGTACGAAGCCGGATCGTCACAAAAGGCTACACGGAGAAGATCGAGGACGAAGACTCCGTCTACGCCTCTACACCAATGTTCACGACACTCCGGACACTTCTCGCGCTACAAATATCACGGCCCAACTGGATCGCGCGACTGGGTGACGTCTCTACAGCATTTCTACACGCGCCCGTCGCAAAAGACCACGACGGTAAATAACGTGACGTCTACCTTTGGCCACCTAAAGAACTTTGTCCACAACAGGACAAAATCTGGCGACTAAAGAAAGCCATGTGTGGACTACGCAGTTCACCAAAAGCATAAAAGCATGGCAGGACTAAGCTCAGCTTTGTAAGA